CCAGGGGGACCTACCGTGTGGGTCTTGGGAGATTCTCGGGGCACCTCTGGCCAGGGGTTGCCCCTGGCAGCATCTGCGCCTCTTCTCTCGCCGCCCGTCCCCCTCGTGCTCCCCTCCGCCCCCCTCCCCCCTGCCCTTAAATCGGGCATGTCCCTCGACAGGAGGAATATTCAAGAAGAGTCAAAAATAATATGGGGACGATTTTTTCCGCTAACAACTGTTTTTGAATATTTGTTTGATTCTTTTTTTCCGTCCAAAATCTGTCTGTGAGGGGACACGCCCGACCTACCCCTGCTGTCCCGCTGTCGCTGCCTCTCCCGACACCCTGCGTGTACCCATCGCGCTCCCCCGCCCCCCCCCGCATGTCTCGAAGGATGTCACAACGGCATGAGCATCCGCGCGGATTCTTGAATCGGCGATGGGCCCCCCCTCCCTGGCGCGCATAGCGCGCTTGGCAGTTTCTTGTTGGTGATCGTTTTCTTATTCATTGTTTTGACGATCGGCGCGGGTCCTCGCACCCCCCCCCTGGCCCCCATCCCATGGAGTAGATCTTGGTTGTTTTTGGCACCCGTTTCGAGCAGGTGGAGTCTCCCCCATATGGACGCACTGCTGCAACCACTCGCACTAAGGACGGGTCCAGAGCCAGGCCGCCCAATGTCGAAACGTCGACTCAGAAACCGCTGACTCGTGCCGCTGTTTGATCTCCTACCCTTCCCGTCTGAATTCCTCTCAGCCCCCTGCCCCATGCCTCTTCCCTGTCCCTTCTGCCCCTTCCTCCCCCTCAAAGACATCCCATCCCGAGGAGGAGTTCAAGCAGCGTCGCTCGGAAGGCACAGGGGAGCTATGGCAGCTGGGTGGACCTTCCAGGTGTGCGCAGGCACGGAAGCTCTAAGTCGGGCTTGTCCCTCTACAGGAGGAATATTCAAACATCGTGAACACATAGTCTGGGAACTATGTTTTCATTATTTAATCGCTTCGCTCATTCCGCCGGCCCTGGAGCGCTATTTGGGGCCTCTTGGGGCCGTCTTGGGGGCTTCTTGGGGGTTTCTTGGGAGCGTCTTGGGGCTCCTTGGCGGCTCCCCTGGGGCCTCTTGGGGGGCTCTCGGGGGCCCCTTGGGGCGGGAGGGGGGGTAGTCGTTGGCAGCCCCCCCCTCGGAGGCCACGATCCTCGTGAGGGCTGGCAAACAATAGCCTCCCCCCTGGGGATCGCCCGGGGGTCAGCCGGGGATCGGCCGGGGTACTGTTCGTCCGGGGCCTCCCAGGGGCCGCCCCGCGCGCTCGTTCTATAGTAAAAAATATTGTTAAGTAGTTACCAGAGATCTTAGCACGCCTCTGGCCCGTTGGGCCGGCGAAATTATTGACCATTTTGGAGTATTGTTTTGGGTATTTTTAATTTTTCGTCGAAAATCCCCTCGTCGGGGGACACGTCCGACTTAACGGAAGCTCCAGGTCACCTCAGCAGGAGTCTCTAGACGGTTCTCGAGGCCACGGGGGGGTAGGGGAGACACTTGGAGACCATTTGGGAGACGAAGTCGCCCGACCGAGGGCGGGACCCCGCAGCGCACGTGCCAGTCTTACACAGCCCTCGTCCACGGAGCCCCCCCCTGGGGCCGTGGGATTCCCACTCCCCGAGGGAGCCGCGTGTAAGAGCTTGGACACGATAGGACCCCAGCAGGCCGATCTCACCCCCCCGCCAGCCCACCTGCAACTAGGTCGGGTGTATCCCCCTACAGGAGGAATATTCAAGAACAGTGAACAAACAGTCGGGGGGCGATTTCCGGATCACTTTTGAATCTTTGCCGATTCTTCGGAATTTTCCGTCCGAGGTCCGCCCGTAGGGGACATGCCCGGCCTAGATCCAGCAGAGGAGACCTAGGAGAGCAGCCCGGGCCAGGGACGCACGGGGGCACGCAGTGGCACAGGCAGCCTGCGGGGGGGGGGGGGGTGGCGACCGCCGCCCCGTGGAGTCTGGAGGGCCGCCTGCGGGGTCGTCGCGGATCCTTCCTTGGGCCGGCACCTGCTCGAGTCGGCCATACATCAGGAGGAAAAGAAACACACAGACACAATAAATCCTGGCTTCCCCAGAAAATATGGGGAAATATGGGATGTGGGCGGGAACACAGAAACCCAGAAAACATGGGAAAATGTGGGGCATAGTTTTATTTGTGTATATTTGTTTGTGTGTCCTGGGGCCCCTTCAATACACGCCGGTCTTTGAGAGCGGGTGCTTCTGGATCCGCAGGTCCCAAGCTGCTTTAGAGGCCGCCTTCCTGCTTCGAGGCTCGAGGGCTTTTATCCCTCGTCCCCCTCCTCTTCGGGGGGGCGGGCGGGAGCCCCGTCTTCCCCCCGGCGCCCTCCTGGCTCATGCTTCTGCCTGCTTGCCCGACCGACGGGTGGGCTTCCTCGAGCCGGGCAGGCCTCCCCGAAGCCTTGCGCTCAGGCTTCGATGTTGCCGGCCTTCTGTGCGTGCATGCCTCTGACTTGGCGGGCAATCGGGGGCTGGGGTGTGAGGAAGGGGCGGGGAGAGGAAGGGAGGGGGACGGGGGGCGGGGAGGGAGAGTGGAGCGGGGGGGAAGAGGGGGGATGGGAGAGAGGGGGGGGAGAGAAGGGGAGGGGGAGAAGGACCACATGGTGGGAGAGGGAGGGAGGGAGGGAGTTTGGGAGAGAGGGGGGGGGAGGAGGCGCCCCTCCCGAAGCCTGCAGGACTCCCGAACTCCGATCAATTCCCCCGGAGGGTTTTCTCGGCGGGGGGCGGAGGAGGCGGACGCCCCCCTCCCGGAACTCGAAGGGCTCTCGGGTCAGTTTCGGGGGCTGGCCGAGGCGGGGGGTCCCCAGAGGCCCCAGCCTTTTGCCCTTGCCCTAGGCCCTAGCCCTGGCCCAATCCCTGGGCCTGGGCCTAGTAGACCCTGGCTCAGTCCCAGGCCTTGGGCCCAGGGCCCAGAGCCTGGGGCCTGGCCTTGGGCCTGGGGCCCAGCTTAGGCCCTGGGCTTCGGCCAAGACTATGTGTCCGCCTTCGGCCCGCCTCGCCCGCGTGCCTGGGCTGTGGGTGTGGATGTTCGCCTGGATCTCGTGGGAGGCTGCTCGGGGAGGCAGTTTGGACCGCCTCTTGGGGACCGCTGCGGGGCATCTTCTGGGCCTTTTGGGAGCCTCTTGGGGGGCCTCTTGGGTTTCTCTTGGGGGCCTCTTTGGGGACCTCCTGGGGCCTCCTGGCCTCCTGGGGGCCTCCTGGGGCCTCCTGGGCATACTGGGGTGGACGGCTTGGATTTTCGGATCGTGTTCCTTCTCTGGGGCCCTTTCAGGGCTGTCTTGGGGGCCTTCTTGGGCCGTCTTGGGCGCCTCTAGGGCCGTCTCGGGGCCTTCTTGGGCCGTTTTGGAGCCCTCTTGGAGGCTCTGGCCCTCTTGGACCGTCTTGGGGGCTTCTTGGGGCCCTCTTGGACCTGAGGACATGCCGATTCCGTGCCCAGCGGCACGGTGGCGGATAGCCCTAGGCCAGGGCCAGCGGCGGCTATCTGCGGAGCCCTAGGCCTAGGCTTGGGCCTGGGGTAGCGGTTTGGGCGGGTCCCGAAAAGGGAGGGGGCGGGGCGGGGATCGACACATGTCAAGGCTTGTGGGGGGGGGTCGACGAGGTGACTGCGGCGGGGCGGGAACATTAAGAGGTCGGGGGGGGCTAAAGCACAAGACCCGCGAGCAGGGGTGTTGGCGAGGTGATGGTTGCGGGTCCCAGAGATTGGCACCGCGGCCGACGTCTCAGCCTCCGTGTCAGACCAGATTCCGTTTCGGCGTTCAGCGCGCCGCTGCAGCGCGCCGCTGCAGCGCCGATGTTTTTTTTTGGGGGGGGGCGGCGGGAACCTGACCGCGCGCACGGTGGCATGGCTCTGCACCTGGCAGCGAGGGCCAGGCATGTGCCCGCCTGTGCCTGGCTGGAGCCTGAGCTCGCGGAGCGCGAGCGTGCCTCTAGTCTCCAGTCGAGATCTACAGCGAGTCAGCACATCCTCAGCCGCAGTGGACGGGGTAAACGCCGCAGGTATTCAGAGAGCAGTGAACGCTCACGCATGTCTGTGTGATATTGTTTTTGTTCGTGTGTGTTCATGGCAGGGTCAATCCCCTCTGGCGGATCTCTGCCCCTTCTTCTGAGTTGCTGGCCGCGTGTGTCCGCCGCTCTCTCGCCTCTTGACTTTCTACGTCTGTTCGCTGCGCGCGAGGCAGCGGCGACGTGTGTGTGTGTGTGTGTGCTTGCGTTCGTGCGTGCGTGCGTGCGTGCGTGCGTGCGTGCATGCGTATGTGTGTGTGTGTGTGTCAGTGTGTGTGGTTGTGTGTGTGTGTTAGTGCGTTAGTTCGTTTGTGTGTGTGTGTTGTTTGTTTGTTTGTGTGTGTATGTGTGCGTGTGTTTTTCAGTGTGTGTGTGTGTGTGTGTGTGTGTGTGCGTCTTCAGTGCGGCCATGCTTGCGCATCTCCTGAGATCCGTCGTTGCGGCAAAGTGGTGACATCGCGAGCAGCCACGACCGGAGCTCCAGAGCCAGCCCTCCCGAGGCATGTCTCGCGCGGGATCGAGCTCCGACGGCTCCCGGGGCCCTGCAGCCAGGCGAGGACGCCCGGCGTGAAGAGAAGCCCCCCTCCGGGGGCGACGCGCACGCCGAGGAATCTCGTGGTGCGAGCTCCGTGGCGGGCGCTCTCTGGCCGCGCCGCTCGGGGCACGATGTGCTAGAACAGGGCTGGACCCAAACGGTGTTTTTGGCGATTTCGTGTGCCGTTTTCGTTTCGATTTCGTTCGGCGGTGGAGGCGGACTCGAGACAGAAGGCGAGGGAACTCGAAAACAGAACGAGAACGAAACACAGCGTTTAGGTTCAGCCCTGTGCTGCAAGATGTTGGTACCATCTGCTCGGTTCGCGCGCGCACCTCCAAGCAGGGCGCACAGCACCAGCATGTCCTCCTGCGTCCCGTGTGCCGCCCGCATCTCGGGCCCCCCCCCTCTCCTCGCGCCCCCCCCCCTCCCGACCAGCGCGCGGGCCCCGCCCTGAAGCCCGCGGGCGGGCGCAAGGTGCGCCCCCCCGCCCCGCCCTGCGTCGGGCCCCGGCGACCCGACCGATGCAGGGCGTCGGCGGTCCGTGGCAGTCTGAGGGGCAGGGGGAGGGCATGGGCAGCCGGACCGAGGTATCAGACCGAGGTCGGTTCGTGATGATGATGATGATGATGATGATGATGATGATGATGATGATGATGATGATGATGATGATGATGATGATGATGATGCTGATGATGATGATGATGATGATGATGATGCTGATGCTGATGATGATGATGATGATGATGATGATGATGATGATGATGATGATGATGATGATGATGATGATGATGATGATGATGATGATGATGATGATGATGATGATGATGATGATGATGCTGATGCTGCTGATGCTGATGTGATGCTGATGCTGATGCTGATGATGATGATGATGATGATGATGATGATGATGATGATGATGCTGATGCTGATGCTGATGCTGATGCTGATGATGATGCTGATGCTGATGCTGATGCTGATGCTGATGCTGATGCGGAGGAGGACGGAGAGGAGAAAGAGCAAAGTAAGAAAGAGCGGAGTCGGATAAGAAGGAGGAGGATGGAGGAAGAAGGAGGATGATGGTGGTGGTGAGGAAAAGGACGAGGCGAGGGAGGAGGTGGAGGCGGTTGAAGGCAGGCGGGTGTGAGGAGGATGGAAGCAGGGAGGGTGGGAGGGACGAGGGGGAGAAGTAGGAGGAGGAGGAGGAGGAGGAGGAGGAGGAGGAGGAGGAGGAGGAGGAGGAGGAGGGGGATATTGCGAAAAGGGAAGGAGAAACGGCGGATGAGGGGGAGGGTGGTTGGGGGGAAAGAGGAAGAGGAGGAAGAGGAGGACGATGATGTGGAGGAGGGGGGGGGGTCGAAGAACTGGCGGGGGAGGATGAGAAGGCGGATGATGGAGCAGACAGGAGGAGGAAGATGGTGGTGAGGAAGAGGCGGAGCAGGAAGCGGAGACTGCTGAAGGCGGGCGAGAATGAGGCGTAAAAGAGGGAGGGTGGGAAGCATAATCAATGGGAAGGGGAGGAGGAGGAGGCGCACACGGAGAACGAGAAGGAGAATGAATGACGAGATTGCAATGGACGAGAATGAGCCACATGAAACACTCCGATGGAGCAAAAGGGACGGCGACGAAACTCAGAGGTGCAAACATCAGTCAAGATGGAGTGCTGGGGCAGGGTGTGAGCATATATATATATATACATATATATATATATATATATATATATATATGTATATCTATCTATATATAAATATATGTATCGCAGCCGGCCAGTGGGAGGGGGCCGGGCTGGTGCCTCTTGGGGGGTCCGCTTGGGCTGTGCGGGCGCTCCGGAAGCTCCGAGATGGCGCCCGGACAGCCCAAGAGGCTGCCCAGAGGCCCCCCAAGCATGCCCAGATGTTTCCGAGGCGCCCAAACGACGCTCCAAGACGCCGAAAATCAGCCCAAGACGGTCCGAAAAGCTGCGAAGACGCCCCAAGAAGCCTCCAAGAGGCTTTAGAAGAGGATCGCACTAATTGAATTTCCATTGGAAAAACACGTCTAGCACATACGATTTTTCGGCAATCGCGGCGCTCAAGGCGGTTCAAGAGGCCCCATAGATCGCTCCAAGACGGCCCAAGAGCCTCCCCAGAGGCGCCCAAGACGTCCCAAGAGGCCGCCAAGATGGCTCAAGAGGCTCCCAAGACGAGGGAGAATCCGAACCGCAAAATCCGAGCCTTCCGCCCGAAGAAGCTCTCAGGAGGCCCCAAGGGTCTCCCACCAGGCCCCAGAAGGCACCGAAGAAGCTCTCAAGAGGCGCCCAGAGGGCATCCACGCGGCCCAAAAGAGGCTCCAAGAGGACCCCAAGAGGCTTGGAATCTGTTCCCACTGAGGCTCGCGAGACGCCTTTCGATACATCCCAGCGAACACCGCGCAAACATCATACCCACAGCCCCGTCGCCGTGGGGGCCACAGCACTGGGCGCGTGCAAACCGCTCCAAGATCCTTCCCAGAACCTTTACAAAACAGCCCTGGAGGGAGGGACTCGCTTCCAGCGCTCCATTCGGGAGTAGGAGAAACCGCGGGGTCGTGGGACCGAAGAGTCTCGGAAACCAGGGGGTCGTGGGGCCGCGATTCAGGATCTTCGACCCTAGAGGTCTGGGGCGTCCAGGGGCCGAAGGATTGAGGTCACTCCTGGGGCCGACTACAAGGGTCGCGGGGCCTACGGGTCGCAACGGGGTCCAGACCGAAAGAAGGGCCCAGATCGGGAAGCGTCCAAACCAGAAAAGGGAGGGGGAGGAGGAATAGCGTAGGATGGGGAGGAGGAAGAGGGAGAGGAGGACGAGGAGGAGGCGGAGGAGGAGCAGGAGACGAACGCGTTGGAGGAGCAGGAGCCAATGAGGAAGGGCGAGCAGATGCTGGAGTAGAAGGGAGGGAACGAAGAAAACAAAGGAAACAGAGGCAGGGAGGAGGAGGAGGAGGCGGAGGAGAAGAACGGACAGAGAGGGAGAGAGGGAAAGAGAGAGAGAGAGAGAATGAGAGATAGCGAACGCAATGAAAAAAACATGTCTTCATAGTTCTGCCACGGCCTTGCACTGGCTTCGGCTAGAACAAGAGCGCGCGCGAAGCGCGCGATGGTTCTAGTGTATATATATAAGCTGGTGGAAGAAACCTCTGGGAACGCGTCCGCGAACTCGCTGGTGCTAGCGCGCCCGCGCGCATGAACGCGCGCGCGCGCGACTGTACGCACGCCCGCGTGCGCGCGCCCACCTCGGGTTGTTGAGACAGTGTGGCCACCAATCTTAAACCGCAACTCGCCAACGAACGTTGGCGAGCACGTGCGTCCTCGCCAAGGTAGGGAACAGTTTGTTGTTGGATAGCGATGCTTGCGATCATGATGATGACGAATACTTTGCATGTGTGTAAACACCAAATAAGTAGATCGTGGATCATGGATCGTAGATCTCGGATGACCACTAACACCAAGGATCTACTATGTAGATCCGAGGACCCTCTGGGAAGCCCTCGAAAGTGCCGACAGTTGCGCAGATCGCAAGCCCCCCGGGGGCGGCGAGGTCTCGAGGTGGTCCGCGTACGACGTGCCTCCGCTGGGCCCCCCAGGAGCCCACGAAAGTAGCGACAGTTGCGCAGATCGCAAGCACCCCAGAGGGCGGCGAGGTCCCGATCCGCGTGGGACGTCCCTTCGCTGGGCCTCCCAGAAGCCCACGTAAGTGCCGACTGTTGCGCATATCGCGAGCCCCCCGAGGGGGCGGCGAGGTCTCGAGATGGTCCGCGTATGACGTACCTCCGCTGGGCCTCCCACGAGCCCACGAATGTAGCGACTGTTGCGCAGATCGCAAGCCCGTCAGGGGGCGGCGAGGTGTCGAGGTGGTCCGCATATGACGTACCTCCGCTGGGCCTCCCAGGAGCCCATGAAAGTGGCGACAGTTGCGCAGATCGCAAGCACCCCAGGGGGCGGCGAGGTGTCGAGGTGGTCCGCATATGACGTACCTCCGCTGGGCCTCCCATAAGGCCATGGAAGTGCCGACTGTTGCGCATATCGCGAGCCCCCCAGGAAGTGGCGAGGTCTCGAGGTGGTCCGCATATGACGTACCTTCGCTGGGCCTCCCAGAAGCCCACGAAAGTGCCGACCGTTTCGCAGATCGCAAGCACCCCAGGGCACCGCGAGCGAAAGTGGTGATCTGCGTATGACTTGCTTCCGCTGGGCCTCCCAGGAGCCCACGAGAGTGTCGCAATCCCTAGGCAAGCCTACCCAACAGACAAGACGGCGAGGCAGGAATCAGGAACCAGACGGCACGACAGAAGAGGAGAAGGTAACACAGGAAACAGGAGAGAAGGAGGAGAGGAAAGGGAGAGGAGGAGAGGAGGAGGAGGTGGAGACCAAACTGCTTTATTCGAAACGAAAACCCAACACAGGAGGGTAGGGAATAATGGAATTCCCAGACTTCCCCCTTTTTTTTCTTCTTCCTTTCAAAGTGGGACGATTCGGAGATCCCGCACATCCCCTGACATCAGGCCGGTACCGCGCCTCCAGGCTTCCCGGGGGGCCCCCGAGATGCCCAAGGACAGCCCAAAACCAGCCCAAAGAGCCCCCAGAACGTAAAGAACTGCCCAACACGCTCCCGCGCAGCCCGAGACACCCCTCCGACGGTTCTCCAGGCCTCCAGGAGGCCTCCAGAGCCCCCAGGGGGTCCGGAAGATCCCACACCCCCTGAGGGGCCCGGCTAACAAAACCCGCGAGACGTAAACGAATTACTCCGACGGAAGAACCCCACATAAAAATCCTCTGGGCGAATCTGGAAAAAGCCATCGCCGTCGTCCTCGTGGTTGGTGAGGCGTCCTGGCTGTCTCTTCTGCGTATAGTTCCTCTCGCCTTGGCGCGGGCCCCCCTTCCACTCCTTACGTTGTCCCCATCCTCGCCCCCCTGTTTGTTCCGCGCCCCGCCACCTCCTCCCCTTCCTGTTGCATGAGCGCGCATGTCGATGTTCCTCGGCGCCGTCGCCGCCACGGCCAGCACAGGCGCGTTCTCTACTGGTCACGTCGCGCAGCCGTTGGGACAACCCCGCGGGCCAGGCTGTCGGGACAACCCCGCGAGCCGCTGGCGCGCAAGACCAAGCCGTTGGGACAACCCCGCGGGCTTCGAGCGAGGCGCAGCCGCGCTCAGGCGGAAGGCAGCACGAAGCCCAGCTCTGCCGCGAGCTGCTTCGCCTCCGCCCTGGACAAAACCGCTCTCTTGTCGAACTCCAGGAGCGCCTTCCGCAGGGACGCCGGCGGCCCGCACTCCAGGAACTCTCGCGGCGGCGGCCGCAGGATCAGCATGTTCCGCATGCACGTGGCGCGGGAGAACATGACGTAGAGGTGCAGCCACCACTGCTCGTCCGACATGCCCGTGCGGCCAGCGTCCTCGTCTCTCGCGCAGTCGATGGTGACGCCCTTGCGCAGCGTCTGGCCCTGCGACAGCGTGGAGGTCAGGTAGGACG